TCCTGAGGGGACGGCGCCGTGCTGGCCGTCACCACCAGCGTCTTAGGGGGAGCCGGGGATGGGTGGCCACCATTGGCATAGACAGGGCGGGTGCTTGTGCTCCCTGAGCGGGAGAAGGGGGGCTGGTGGGCATCGTTGCTGTTGCTGAAGCGGGTGAAGGAGTCTGTGGCGTGGTTGGCTTTGGGGTCATTCCAGTAGCGGCTGTTGTAGGTGTTGGAGGAGGTAAGGGTATCATTCTCTGATGAGGATGCGTCGGCGTGGAATGTCTTTGCAGCGGAGGAGCATTTGGGTGGCAGGTCATCCTCCCTGGGAAGGAGAGGGTGTGAGGGCACATGGAGGATGCTTCCACACTTGGCTAACATCCCCCCCGGCCCCTGCCACAACCTGTTGGGGTCAATGGTTCAAGGTGAAGGACAGCTCCAACGTGAGCCAGCATTGCTCCTTGGCCTTTTGCTCATCCCTCTTTGCAGGACCCACCTCTGTGCACATTAACTGCTCCATGTGCCCCTAGCGCTGAGGCAAACAACCCACACTTATGCATCTAGGGGGGCAAAACCAGTGTTTGTCACAGCTGCTGGTACTTCACAGGCAGTCTAGTATGACTGTACAAACAATGAAGTTGATCCTCCAGGGAGATGCAGGAAACTGCCAGAGGGAAACACTGGCTGTAACACCAGAGAAGATCACAGTTGTGTCTCCAGAGCTTTTCAGCTACCACTGTGTGGTACCCACTGTGGTGGGTCAAGGTCCCCACCACACCACTCTCCTCCAGAGCTAACAACACCAAGTCAAAACTCTCAATAAAGGCAATATTGAAAACAAAATCTGTCATTACCATTCTTCTCCCTTCATTTTCTGGGCATATACGGACATCTTCCCCTGGCCCAGGGGAACACAACCAGGATTAGCAAAGTGAGCCAGCTGCTGCTTTTGTTGGGCAATCAGAGGTCCCCTGCCACCAGATTTCCCTCACCCTTACCTTATCTCATTGGGAATCTCCTCCTCCTCTTCTTCTTTGTGTTTATTTTTCCAGTAAAATAGTGCCACGGCCACCAACACAATGCAAACAACGAGCACAACAGCACCTGTGGCCACTGCTCCGGCAATCAGGCCAATACTCCGGGGGTGGGCTGTGGGAATGATTGGACAGAGAATGGAGAAGAAATCAGGGCTGGGCTGTGGCCATCCATGAGCATTTGAAGCTACCGTGGCTTGGGAGGGGGAAAGGCAATGTCCCCATTCCAGGGCACAACGATCTTCTGATAGCGAGGCACATGGTGGCTCATAGCAAACTGAGTTACACACTTTACTGTCACAAGACAGAAGCAGGTGGCCAAGCCTCCCTTGGCAAAATACTTACGTGCAATGACTTGCAGGTCCAGAAGGCAAGTGCTGGTTCCAATGGCATTTGAAGCCACACATTGGTAAAGACCTGAGGACACAGTGCTGATATTTCGGAGAGTGACAGTGCCCTGGACTTGGTCTAGTCAGAGAGAAAAGAAGGATTTAAATCCCTCCCCCCCCTTGAGGAAAACCATGAAAAGGCAAAGCCCGCAAAAAGAGAATTTTGGTGCGAGTCTTTCTTAAGAGAGAAATAAATTAGGAAATAACCTTGAGATGGAAGCATTGTGCACACACACACACACACACAAGATTAGGTCTTAAGGAGCTTACACTAGATGTTTCTTTTTCTTCTTATAGATTAATTTCTGCAAATGAAAGCTTGGTACTCTCAGTGTTGTGTGAGAAAAGGCAGGAAAGAAGAGATGTGCTATACCCAGATCTATCTGCTAAATTTAGTTCTGCCCTGCAGAACCCCTGCTCTCCCATCCCTGAGCTCCCCACCCCCCGCTTTGCCAATTTTCCTCATTCTTGAATTATGTAGAACTAAAATGCTTGCGTATTATTTAAATACAGCAAGATAAAGGGCAAAAGTACAGCTATCACTACTTGATCAGGACACCTACACCAGGAAATCTTATGAATAGGACGTGGAGTTGGGCAATAGCTAGTCTGATCAGAGCCTTGCTTTTCCACACATCTGAATGGCAACTCTGGCAGTAACTTATTGGAGAACAGTGACCTCAGTGTGAGAAGCTGGCAGCATTTTCCTGGGATGAGTCTGCCTCCCTTCTCCCAGTTTCCAATCTATGAGACTTTCATTTGGTTTAAAATGCAGGTGAGTCAGCAGCTGAAATCTCCAGCCACATGCCAACATCTGGCAACCATGTTCTGTCTCTTCCATTCAAACAGACCCTTGTTCTTCAATGGGGAACGTGTTTCTGTACCAAAAAAACATGAAAATTTAAGTGGCCACTGGAGGGGACCTGGTCCACCGTGGGTTCTAGGAATCTTCGTTCCAACAAAGTGACCATGCAAGTGGTGGCAGACACTCAATGAGCCATGCCACCTCTGGCGGCTCAGACAAAGGAAAGCCCAGGCTGTCACCTGGGAAATAAGAGGATAATCAACAGAATGAGCACCTTGTGTGGCAGTTGGGGGCAACTTGGGAACATTGTCCAGTTTCTCCCAGAGGTATGTTGGCCGGGGGATGCCTTCTTCTGAGCTGCAGGTCAGTGTGATATCGCTGCCCACGTCCAGGGACCCCTGGATTCTGCAAAGCGGGGCAGAAGGAGGAACTGCGAGAGAAGAGGGGAAGGTGACAGCAGATCAGGAAATATGACCAAACAGTGGAGTGCAGGCTTTTTCTGGACACATGCTACTGGGGAAAGCAAGGACACTGGCATGAGCTGTCAAGGGGACAAAAGGAAGGCAGCAGATAAGAACCCATTAAGGTTTGGGAGGTGACAATTCACAAAGATTCCTGACCCACCGGCCCATCAAGGTTACAGACTACTGCTGACTTTCACAGGACCCAGTTCTCTTAGATCCCTCCCTAGCTGGTCCTCTTAGATCCCTCCCTGGAGAAAAAGAAGGTGAACATTTCTGTCTTGGAGACAGCAAGGGAGGTGAGAGCTAACAGAGCTGCAGACAGAATTTTTGGTGGTTGGGTTTTGTTTTCATATCCCTATATTGGCACACGCTCTGAAGTATTTAACATCCTACAGAGCATCCAGTACTAACTGCTTTCATGAAAAGGAAGCAAAGATCTGAATTCATTCTTGTCTTCTGTTACTATGCACAAAACTCTTATGGTCCCTTCAGTTCTCCAGGATGCTCTTGCACTTTATTCATGCTTCTTTGCAACTCCACATCACAATGCTGCCACAAAAGCTTTCTCTACACCATATTTTAAAACTCCATTATACGCTACCTGCATATGAAGCCTATGTGCCCTACAAACTCCCACAATAACCACAAGGCAGCCCACCCCTCACCACAGGATGTCCATGGGCTCCAATATATACACTACCACATTGCTCTGCTATGATGCACTGTCATGCACAGAGGATCCCCTTGTCCCTGTTCCTCCCTTCTCCCCCATAATCCCAATAAACACACCCAGGACAGTAAGTCCAATGACTCCAATATTCCTGACGCCTCGGTCGGGCAAATTGTTCACCAAACACTGGTATGTGCCAGTATCCGATAGCTGAGTGTTGTTGATGAAGATGGAGGCACTGGTGGTTGGCATTGTCACAGCAAACCCCACTCGCCCATAGAACTGAGGTGCGCCACCAAAGATCTGACCCCCTTGGTAGAGAATAACCTGGAAAAGAAAGGAAGTCTCAACCACCACTCTGTAGGAGCTGAGCAAGGAGGAAGAACAGCAAGCAAAACATGGGCTTCCAACGATGAAAGGACCAGTTCCTAAAGCATCTCTAAATAACCAGACCTCAATATACAGTTGTCCCAGGCAGACCCATCATAGCTGAGGTCTTTTCTCTAAAAGGGGAACACAGTCTGTAGCCCAATTTATGCCAATAAAAATGCTCACAGAGGTAACAGATCAGATAGACACCCAAGTCTTCTGGCACAGCTGAATTGGCAATACCAGCCTGCTTCATAGTCATTACCCGTCTGGACAGGAACAATGTAAAGAAGCAGAGACTTTCTGTAGGCCAGTGAGTACTTTGCTGGAGAGCATCTGCCAAGTGGGCAGTATCATTTTGAGTCTCAGCCAGTAAGATACTGACATGATTTGACACTGCTTACTGAAGACCATTGGGGTGAACTGAATGGCAGGCAATGCAACTCTTGAACCTCTACCAATCAGACAGCTTATATGGCAGCTTGTACTCAGACCAAGTCCCTGAGGAACAAGTACTCTTCAGTGCAGGTTCTCACAACTGAATATCAAATGTGATGGGGGCAGCATGGCCCAAGTCAGATGCATTTCAGAGCAATGGCATTATTCTGCTGTCAGAGTACATGGGCAAAAACCAGGCCAGCAGATCTCAGGTTATGACTCTTTTACCCACCACGATAGACTCTCACTTGCCAATATTCATAAGAATAGTCTTGCATAAGTAACACACAGTGAAAAAGTAAGAGGGGAAGTAAAACGGGAAATGAGTCTTTGAGAGGCCATGTGTTCTGGGCACATTTTAGATACATTTCACAGGTTTAAGCATGCAGCTGCTCCCAGATCCTCCAAATCCCATACCCAGAGCACCAAAACCTGGATTACTTCTCCTGTGCTCTTTTGAACGCACAAAACACCAGAGATCCAGGGCAGCCATACAGTATCACATAGACCTATCCCAGTTGCACATCCATGCACAAGGACACAATGCGCATCAGTTAACAAAGTATTGAGGAAATCAGATTCATGTAAGAACCAGAGGGCATGTTCAGCAATGAAGGGAATGTTCTGGGACAACCAGACACTCAGCATTGCAAAAGGACTACATCCAGATCAGTGTGAAAAGGGCGACGAAAATGAAAGCCCCAAAGAAGTCCATGCTCCAGTGAGAAAGGACCTACCTGTTGAGGCTGGTTGGCGTTAGAAAGAGGAATGACCATCCAGATGACATTAAGGTTAGTGAGAGCAGCGTTAGTGGTGAAGGTGCAGGGCAATACTGCTGTCTGGCCTCGGGCAACCTGGATACTCCCTGAACTGACTGACACCTCCAGAGGACACACCAGACCTGGAAAGAGAAGGACACCCAGTTCAAGCATTTCAGGAGAGGGACACCCAGTTCAAGCATTTCAGGTGGCCCCATACACATGCAGGTCATGACAGCAGCATCCTGTTGTTACACAACTGTCCCTTACCAATTACTTCAGGCTAAAAAGAATTATATTCCTCCCTCAACAGATCAGGCCGCTTTCATGCAAATGCAGATAGGCAGCCCTTTTAAGTGTGAGCACACTAGTTTCAGAGCCTCTGAAAACAACAGGTTTTGTTTAGGCAATGGGGAAAGAGCTATAAGAGCAGCCAAGCTGTGCCTAAGAGATAATGAAGTATGTTTTCAAACCCATCAATCTTAATGATACCCAACATCACTGAAACAGAAAAGGAAGCAGCATTCTAAAAGTCTTCACCAAGGGATAAGAAGAGAGAACATGTATCACGAAAGAAGAAACACAGTTCTCCCCATACTTCTACCCCTTATAAAGTCCAGTATGAGCAGAAACATTTTAGTGTTATTTTTAATTTAAAGGGTTAAAAATCTAAATCTTTTTCAGCCCAGGTGTTTCTATCTAGCTAGTGAAAAATGACTACTGATAATGGAGGATCTCATCAAAGCTCATTTGTTTTCCAGCATTTCCACCATTCACTTTGCATTCCACACAGGCTGGACAGGGCTCAAAGCCTGATAAGCCCCAGCATCCCAGTGCAGCAGCTCAAGGCTGCAGTTTTTAAACTGCAGGTCACACAGGAAAATATCTCTGTTCCTACTGCCAAAATCTTGTCAAATGAAACTAACCAAGGAGTCACCTCCACCATTTTGAGTAGCACTAAGTTTCTTTAAACCATTTTCCCAACAGAATCAAACTATTGACTACAAAAAACATCTCTCTCTATGACAGTTCCCTACGTTCTTGTTCAACACATGTGGAAGGCTGCTGGAGGAGAAGGCAAGGAGTTTTCAAGCTCCAAGGCAATACCAGAATATTGCTAGCACCCAGGTCCTGTGCTCTTGCTGACTCCAGGAAGGGCCACCAGCAAAGTTTCTATTTGCTGCCAAGAGACACTAGTTTGCTGAAGGAGAAATGCTCCATGAGAATAGGTTTCTATCTGAACTACAAAGAAATCAAACAGGCTAATTTCTGAGAAAAAGGTGAGTGGTCTCCTATACGCCTATCTGCTGGGATCCCTCCCAGCCTACCTAACAGAGAAATGGGGTGCTCAGAGCCTGGAAGCGCTAAGCTTCAGACACTAGAGATGCAAAGTTTCTAGCACCTGAACAGCTTATGATGAGTTCTTGGGTTTGGACTGACTTCTCTGAAGCTGCAATATCCCAGGACCTTGCAAATCCTCAGCAACTTCCTCCAGACTTCCATTCCCTCCTCCGTATCTCCCACATCCAAAGCCCCAGGTAGTTCCAGCAGGCTCAGAAGTACTTCAGAACAGAGCCAGATAAAATGCCATTTTAATGTCTCCAAGTGAAATTAATGAGTTTCTTACTTTGCAGAAAAAAAGCCCAAACAATTCTGACTTTCCTCACAGGCTTGGAACATGTTTAAAAATTTGTAACGTTTTGGAAATTCCTAGGGAAACAGTTCATCTCTGGTGCTAACAGCTTCAGAGAGTTAGGTGCCTGGATGAGGAACAGCTGGTGAAAGTTTAATCCATCCATCTCCTATGCAGAGCTGTCAGCAGCAAGTGGAAGTAAATAATTTGAAGACGCAGTAATAAGCATCACCTTTATTACAAGGAGTCTGCTTTCCAATTGCATCTGTGGTCAACAGACTGGGAATGGTCTGGGACTCCTAATTTGCTTATGGCTTGCTAGGCAGTGGCTGTAGCCCAAAAACCAGAAGTGATCCATGTCAACTTTGGAGATGTTCCTTACTGAATATAGCCCTGACAAGGGATTGGTTTTTCTGCAGGCCTAAATGTGAAGGTTACATTGCCATGACTACTCATCCAGTCTAGCATCATCCATGTGCTAAACAGTGTGCAGGGAGTCACAATAATTTGGACATTTATTGGGTTAACCTCTCTGTCCAACATGGTGCAGAAAGGTCTTCTGGCATGTTCAGCATAGATTCAATGAGATGCTCTCCAGGAGAGAAAAACCAGCTACTCATCTGATTTGGAATAGCAACATGTGTTCTTTAGCCCCATCCCTTATCCCCTCCACTTTCCCCTCCAAGAAAACTCCCCACATTCAAATTCCTGTCATTCAGGAAAAGTAATACTTAACTGTGAGTATTTGCTAATAGCAATTTTACTGGACAAGTTAGAGTACAGTTTGCATTGCAGGGTTAGCTCCATCAATCACTCAGTCACTAAGATGATGTGATTTTCATACCTAACCACCCTCTTGCTACTCCTAATATTTACTATTAGTTGATTGCAAGCATCCTGCAGAATAACAGAAACACTAAAATAGAACACGTATAATTTCTTCACTGTAAAAATAATTTTCAGTACATTTGAGAATTTCCCAATCTACTTATGAACAATTCAAAAAAGGAAAGGAAATACATATTATTCCCTTTGCTCTGCCTGTGCCCCCCTCTCTCCTTGCAGCACCACACAGCCCTCATAATCTCCTCCCTCTTTCAAGGCACCATAGCATCCCTTTTAATTTGAATGCCATGGAGTGGTTTCTGGAGGGGGATGGTGAAAGACTAGGGAAGAGCTGAGGTCTCCGTCCATTGCTCTTGCCAAGGGGAGTCGCTTTGAACCTGGGCATGCAAGATGAGCACCCGATGCCCACCGTGCTGTCCTTTCTCTGTCTTGTTAAACCACCGGGGAAGCTCCTCAACTTGCCTTTGCCTCATGCATCCCAGGCCAAAGAGCAGCTGAGAGGCCCTGGGATGCACACAAGGCAGGCGGCACTTAAAGAGGAGGGCTCGTTTTGTTAGGCTAAGTAGCACCTGCAGGGCTACAGCTGGGGAAAACAAACACAACCGCTTCTGACAAGTGAGATCAAACAAGGCGACAGGGGAGTCAGGACACCAAATGTAGACAAAGTCCTCTTCCACCAGCATAAATAGGGAGGTAGGCTGGTGTGTTAACAGAGCACCAGGGGGTTATTACTACAATGTGACTCCTCTCCCAGGCAGACAGCTGAAAGAGCAAAGATCAAATCCTCTTCAGAAACTACAGCATCTTTCTTTATATCTCAGACTACTAGAAAATGTACCACACTTACACATGCACTTGTCCATCTATGCAAGTAGCTACGTGACTGCATCCTTCCACACCAATACTCATGGCCCAAAACACAGGTGGATGCACACAAAAACACATACACTTATAAACCTGTATGCCCAGGAAGGCATCTAGTAGGAAAACTCAACCAAATTATACGTGTTTAAACACTTCAAAATTAGGAGTTGAAAAAATGTGGCTTTGCATTAATGTGAAAGGAGGGAGGCAGGGGAAAGAGGGAGGAAGAGATTTCAAATTTAGCATATCTATTGGGATAAGGATTTTTCAATGCAGCCTAAGGAATGAGGACTTGAATTCCCTTGGGTAGATATAAATGCAAATATAGATATATGCACACACATACGCCCAGTGTACTAAGGCAAATTATACATAAGAGGTCAGAAAAATCAAGGAAAAGATGTTGTAAAGGGTCTCCTTCTGCAAAAGTACACAATCCAGACCTTTTCTACGTATTCAGAGAAGTTTAATGACTTGTGAGAGACAACAAGGATCGATCACTACCAAATAATCTCTTAGAATTGGATTACAATGGCTGTTACACCCTCTCTTGCATGCGCAGTCTTCTTACTTAGTAATTAAGCATCCCTGTAACCTGCATGCCTGGAGGAAGAGCAGAGTACACCACTATCAGCAGAAAGAGGAATGGGCCCTTCCTGTACACAGGACACTTTGATCTTAGCTTGATTCTGCAAACAGTTTTCTCCTTTGATCCCCATGCAGCAAGTTCCCATCTCTAATTAGAATGGATGCTCCATTTTTTTGTTCCCCATCAGGGAACCAGCCAGCAGAACGATGTTTTGGCTACAGAGGCTCTTTTAGAGTTTCTTCCTATTTCCAGGACCAAGTAATTATTCTGGCAAGAGATCACTGATTTCATTTTTGATGGGTCACTATTGCTTTTTCAAGTAGCACACTCAGCTCCCTCTCCTGCATCCATGAAAGAGTCCATGTAGATAGTTCATGCAGCTTGACACAAGCACGTAGGGCCCAGTCCCACGACCAGCATTTGCCTCCCTGCTGGATATGAGGAGGAGGAAGATGCTGCCACGTGTTTGCTAGCTGCCTTGCAAGGTCTGCAAGCCTGAGAGGCTTCAGAATATATCAGATGCAGCAAAGCTGAAAGACATGAGCACATCTTAGCGCTTTGATTCATACTAAGTTGACTGAAAATGTTCCCAGCTCCTGCTCACCGCCACACGTCTCTGCCAGAGATCACAAGCAGGACCAGGAAATCACTGCAGCTGACAACCCCGTTAGTGAAATGAGGACTTCCACCACAATCACTTCACATCAATAGGCCAGACTGAACATGAACAGCTGATGCATAAGTCACCAGTCCGTATCACCATGATGACAGATGGTCACAGACCACAAGGACCTCAGAGGCTGTGCCTTCAGGAATCACTGTAATCACACTGTTGAAGTTGTGCTAAGGCCACATCGTTCTCTACTGCTGGATCATCCCCAGCACCTGGTTTGCAGAGGCAACCATGCTCAGAGAGATATCTGGGTATTACCGGGTGCATTGCAGTACAGTGCACAGAGAAATTCTTTCCCCACTGTATTTAGCTTAGGAGTGTTGATCTCCACAGAAGAATAGAAGTTTATTTGGAGGGTCATTCATGCCACAGAAGTCAAGTTCTTGCCCTGCCTCACCTTCTGGAGGACACAGTCTACTTTGCAAGTACCCCCAAGAACTGTTGGCAGTTTGGTAGCATTTGGCACCTGATAACAGCAACCTCTTGATACTCAGAGGCGTGGGAAGCTGAGCTAGCATGACTTTGCGTACGCAGAGGC